CCCCCCGGCCGGGTCGCGCGGGCAGGCGGCGGGGGGATGCCCACGGAGAGGCTAGCGTCCTCGGAAGGACGCCCCCCCCCGCGGTTGGCGCGCCAGATGATGGGGCCCGGGACGCGCGCCGTGCCGGCCTTGCCCCCGGCAGCCGATCTTCATGGGCCAGGTGGCGGCGCCACAATTTCCCCTTCGAGGGCACGCATATCGGCGTTGATGAGGGACTCATAATTGGGCAGACGAGCTGGCCCCCGGTCCCCCGCGCCCCGGCCTCCCCCTCCCCCCCCCGGGTCCTAACAAAGATGGGGAGGGCCTGCAGAAGCAGGCCCGCGGGCCCGCCCCGGGGCAGGGGCGCCGTGAGGCGCCCCTGCTCTTCGGCCGGCCCCGAAGAAGCACCGCCCCCGCCGGAACCGTCCTCCGACGGGGGAGCGCAACATTCCTCGCCTGGGGGTGGGGGGGCGGCGGCGCGGAGGCGGCAGACCCGGGCGTCGGTGCCACCCCCAGCCGGCGCGCACACACGCGCGCGCGCGTGCCCGCGCCTGCCGAGGCGGGACTAGCAGGGGCAGGGGGAGAAATCTGGCTCATGGCGCAATCCGACCTCGAAAAGAGCGCCAGGCAGTATTTTTCTGCGAGCATATGGACCCGGACCATATGGCACGAGCGCGCGCGCGTGCGCGTGTGCGTGCCTGCCCGCCCCCGCCCGCCGAGCACACTGGTTCACCGGCGCACCGTCCCGGCCGGCCAGCCTGGCCGCGCGGTCGGACATGGAAGAGGGCACACAAAATGCGCCCAACCCTGGAGCCGCGGTAACGGCCGGACGGCCAGTGGTCTGGGCAACGAACGCGCACCTGTTCCCCCCCACCCGCCAGCCGGGGGCGAGGACGGGCTTCGCTCCCGCTGGAACACCCAATATCCCGACAGTTACCCGCCCCGCCGGCCCGCAGGCATTTGACCCCCGCCGCAGGCCGGGGCCCGGCCTTTTTATACGCCCCGACGGCGAGGGCGGCGTGCGCCGAGGGGCGGGGGGAGGGGGGGGGGGGGGGGCACGCGCGCGCGCGCATGGCGGCCGGAGGGCGTGAGCCCGCGCATGAAAAGTCTCAGCAGAGAATGCGAGCCGAACCCCGATCAGCATTCCATTCCCCTGGTCGGGACGAACCACCGCCGTCCCCCCTCCCCAATCATCGGCCCAAACGACCGGCATCGGGTGGCCGAGGCCGGCTCGAACACCGGCGACTTTCGCCCGCCCGCCCCGAAGAGAGGGAGATGCCGTGGCCTTCTTGGGGCCGGACGTGTGCGCGCGCGCGCGCACGCGCGCGAGAGCCGGACACCCCCGCACGCCGGGTCTCCCGGCGGGACCAGGCGCCTCAAGGGGAGGGGGCGCGGACGTTTGTTATTATTCCAATATGCAGAAATATGTCAGATTATATTTCCCTCAAATATACCCTCAACAGGGGGTGGGAAGGCTCCGCTCGGCTCTGGCCCGGCGCGCATCGCCGGGAGGAGGGGGGGGTCTTGCCGACGGCGCGGCTCTTGCTCTCGCCAGGTCACTCCCCCCCCCCCCCCGCGCCTGTCCCCCTCCTGCGGTTCTGCTCGGACCATATGCTGGCCATAGCCACCTGAGGGGGCCCCATCATACGGCGGCTCCTAGCCCGGGCCGGGGGATCTTGGGCCCCCGGCTCGGGCGCGCGCGCGCGCACGCATGCTGGCCCGGTGGCGCCGACCGATCCGTGGGGAAAGTCTCCACGCGCCCAGGGACCGGGGGGGGGGGCGCGGGAGGGACGCCTCGCCGTCACACGGCCGGGAGACAAGATCCCCTCGCCGCCCGTCTCCCCCGCATGAAGCCACCGTGGCACCAATATTCTGTCCTCGCTGCGCCAGTTCCCTCTACCACCAACGGCGCGGCTGCCCGCCCCCCCCCCCCCCCTGGGCACTTCATCCCGCGCTGGAAAACACATCTGAGTCAGGGAGGGGCCCGAATGGCGGGCGACGTGTGTGGCCGCGGTGCCCATCCCCACAAGGGGGGCCGCAGGGACTTCTGTGTCAAGGCCCGCCATCGGTGGCGGACGCCAGCCGAGTCCCAAGGGATCCGACGGTGCAGACTGCGTGCTATAGCACAAGATCGAGAAACACCACTATAATAGAATGGTATTGAAAATAGACAATCTCGTACGCCCGGAGTAAGAGCGTTACCGAGTAAATGGTTAACATAACTCAGCGGGGCTTTCGGCCGGCCGCAGAGTCGGCCCCCGTGCCTGCCTTTGCCGCGGGCCCGCCCCCTTCATGGGGGCGGGGGGCCGGCGGGCGCCGCACAACGTGGGCTACCCCGGCCTTTCATGCGCGCCCTGGTGGCTCCGCAGCCGGGGACCGCCTCTCTCCCCCCGCTCTGTCTTTGTCTCTCTGTCCGCCTCTTCCTTGTTCCCGGGGACACGGGGGGAGGGGCACCACCCGGGCCGGGGCTGCCGGCCGGCGGATGACTACCACCGCGAGGGCTAGGCTTCATGTCATCATGATGGCTCGGGGCCTCGTCGCCGCCCTTGTCGGCCGCCCCCCGGTCCCGGGCCCGAGCGATCGCGTCAGCCGATTGGCCGGCCTGCCGGGGCGAAGCAGCGGCAACTAGGCTCTCGCTCACCCGGGGGGCGGGGGGGTTGCTTTTCGGGGCGGGGTGCCCCCCCCCCCCTGGTTGTCCGTCTCCAGCCCCGCCGGACAATGGCCGCCGCCCCCCCCCCCCCCCTGCCCCCAGGGAACAGAGGCGAGGTCCGGACTGTTACTTGGCAGTTCACCGGCTGCGGCCGGAAGTATTAGCTCCCCCCCTGGCCGGGGGGCGCGGCGCGCCGGACCAGCTCCCGCGCCTGGGGCCCAGGGCGAGGGAGGACGACCATCCCTTTGGCCACGAACCTTGCTGCGGTTGTTGTTGTTGTTGTCGTCGTCGTCGTCGTCGCTCTCGTGGCCGCCCGTGGCTGCCCGCGCCTCGGCCTTACTCTACACTGAGGGCGAGCGCGAGCAGGGCCCTGGTCCCTGTTGGGCCGCGCCCCCCGCCCGGCTGGCCGATGCTTGTCCCGTGGTCGGGTGTACGATTTGCTCCTCTCTCTCTCTCTGCGGCTCTCCTTCCCGGTGCGGGGGCACGACCTTCCCTCCTCCCGGCGCTTGTCCCCGCCCAGCCGCCCTTCCCTGGGGGGAAGTGCCCTCGGGGGGGAGGGGGCATGCCCAGGGGCTTTTGCTTGGTGCTTGTTGCTCTCCCCCCCCCCCGCCTCCGGGCGTGTGTGTGTGCGCCTCTCCACCGAGGGGGGACTGTGCGTTGGAGCGTTGCAAGCCAGCCGACGGGGCACCGGCGTCGAGGGGGGGGCCGTGTGTCATCTCCGGCCGGCCGGGGTCCCGTGCTCTCGCCGGGCCTCTGCTCGTTGAAATGCGGGCTCTCCCGTCGTCCGCGTCTTTTGGGGCCGCCGGAGGGGGGGGAGGGCGGGGGGCTCTAGCACGATTTTCGGCGCGACGGGCAGGGCCTCCCCTGCTCCGTGCTCCGCTGGGGCGCCGGGGGGGGGGGGGGGGGGGGGGGGGGGGGGGGGGTTGCCTGGGCTGCCCTCCTGTAGCAAGGCTCCCCCGGGCCAGGGAGGCGGGGGCGGCAAGGGGCGAACAGGCGCTGGCGCGGCCGTTGCGTGTGCGTCCTCGGCCCGAGGTGCTGCCATGTGAGCGCGTCTGCGCGCGATCGGCGTCCGGGCCTCGGGGCATGGACATGTCCTCAGGTCCCCGCGAACTTGGCCGGGGCTGGAGAAGCCGGGACGGCTAGTCGCTCGCCGGGCTGGTTGACCTGCCAGGTGTGGGGCGTCGGGCGTGGGGCGGGGGGCGGAGCGAGGTGCATCAGGCCACCCCCCCTCCCGGACAGCAGGCGGCTCAGGCCACCCCCAGGCCAGGGGGGGGGGGCGGGGGGATGTGTGACCACATCGACCCCGTCCCCCCCCCCCCCCCCCCGCGCGCCCGCCCCTCGCCCAAGACAGCAGGGCACGACCATGGGCGAGCTGGCGTGTGCCGCTGGCGTTGCGCGGGCGGTCTCGCCTCGCGGCGCATTTTCTGCCCCTGCTTGTGTAAGGAGGCCGGGTTCACACGCCGGGCCCCTCTCCTCCGGCCCTCGCCGCCAGGTCGAGCTTCTAGCTCTTTCCTCCAGCATCGGCTGCGAGCCGGTCTTCGTGCCCGGGCGACAATGTGTCCCGACGGCCTCCGAGAGGGCGGCGAGGCACGGGCCGGTACGGGCGCGGACCGGGAGAGAGCCGGCGCGGCCCCGTATGCACCCCCTGCCGTGACCCACTCCGTGGGTGGTGCCCCCTCGCATCCCCCCCCCCCCCTCCCCAGCTGGGCTGCTCATGTTCCGAGGGAGTCACTCTTTATGAGCGGGCATCCCCCCCCGGCGGCTGACATGCTCAGCGTTCTCCCTAGCCCTTTTCTGTACTTCTGTCGGTCCGTCCTTCACCCCTCCCCCCCCCCCCCCCCACCCTGCGGCCCTGTCTTTCCTGCCTGCACGACCCGCTCACCCCTCCCCCCCCGCCCCACCCGACAGCTTCCGCCAGAGGTTTCACTTAAGGTCTTATCCCCATATGTTTAGTGCAGCCCGTCGTGTCGGAATCTCTGCGCTCTCCACCCGCTCGTTGTCTGTTTTTGCTTCCAGCCGGTCCTTTTCCTCCGCAGCCATGTCTAAGATCAACGGTGCGCTCCTTCTTGTTGTCCCCCCCCCCTCCCGCTCACTGTTCCTTCCCTCTTGCTCCGGACGCCCGAGAGCCGTGCTTTGCCCATCATCTGCACCGTCCCGCTAACAGCCCCTCTCCCCATCCTCTCTCGCCCCGCCCTCGCTCCCGCCCCCGCTCCCGCCCCCGCCCCCGCCCTTCCACCACACCCGCAGGTGGTACCGTCGTGGAGCTCCACGGTGATGAGATGACCCGCATCATCTGGGACCTCATCAAGGAGAAGCTCATCAACCCCTACGTCGACCTGGACATCAAGTTCTACGACCTGTCCGTCCAGAGCCGCGATGCCACCGATGACCAGATCACCATCGATGCCGCCAACGCCATCAAGAAGTACAACGTCGGCATCAAGTGCGCCACCATCACCCCCGATGAGGAGCGCGTTGCCGAGTTCGGCCTCAAGAAGATGTGGCGCTCTCCCAACGGCACCATCCGTAACATCCTCGGTGGTACCGTCTTCCGTGAGCCGATCATCTGCAAGAACGTCCCCCGCCTGGTGAACACCTGGAACCGCCCGATCGTTGTCGGCCGTCACGCCTTCGGCGACCAGTACCGCGCCACCGACCTCGTCGTCCCCAAGGGCAAGTTCGAGATGGTCTTCACCCCTGCTGAGGGTGGCGAGAAGCAGACCTTCGAGGTGTTCAACTTCTCCGAGTCCGGCGGTGTCATCATGGGCATGTACAACACCGACGAGTCCATCCGCGAGTTCGCCCAGTCCTCCATGGTCTACGCCTACGACAAGCAGTGGCCCCTGTACCTGTCCACCAAGAACACCATCCTCAAGTCCTACGATGGTCGTTTCAAGGACATCTTCCAGGAGGTCTACGAGGCCGACTGGAAGGCCAAGTTCGAGGCCGCCGGCATCTGGTACGAGCACCGCCTCATTGACGACATGGTCGCCCAGGCCATGAAGTCCGAGGGTGGCTTCGTTTGGGCTTGCAAGAACTACGATGGTGATGTCCAGTCCGACTCCGTTGCCCAGGGCTTCGGCTCTCTCGGTCTCATGACCTCCGTCCTGGTCTGCCCCGATGGCAAGACCGTCGAGGCCGAGGCCGCTCACGGCACCGTCACCCGCCACTACCGCGCCCACCAGCGCGGCGAGGAGACCTCCACCAACCCCATTGCCTCCATCTTCGCCTGGACTCGTGGTCTCATCCACCGCGGCAAGCTCGACGGCAACGACTCCCTCGTCCACTTCGCCGAGTCCCTCGAGGCCGTCTGCATTGAGACCATCGAGGCCGGCTTCATGACCAAGGATCTGGCCCTCTGCATCCACGGCAAGGAGTGCGTGTCATCTCCTCCACCTCCCCCCCCCCTCCGCCCCTGCTCTTTCTTGTGCCCCCCTTGGCTGCCTCCCTCACCATGGGGGAGGCCCTCTCTTTCTGTCCTCTCTTTTTCTGCACTTGCTAACGATGTGCCCCGGCGCGCGCTCCCCTCTCCCCGCTGCTCTCTCTCCCTCTTTCTCTCTCTTGTGTTGCACCCGCGCACCCGCAGGATGAAGCGCGAGCACTGGCTCAACACCTTCGACTTCCTTGACAAGCTCCAGGAGAACCTCAACCTCAAGCTCAAGGCCAACCTCTAAGTGACTTGTCTTTCTCTCTCCCTCTCCCTCTCTCAAGGCACGCATGTACGCCCATATGTGTGGAGTCCCTCCTTCGGTTCGTCCCGCTTCCGGAGGTGAGGGGGGACCCGCTGCCGGCTTTCGTGTCTCGCGCATGTCTCTGTGCACACAGACACACGCGTGAGGGGGTGGTTTCTCCCTGCCCCCGGCGGTGAGCTGTGTGAGAGGACCCCGTTTGCGAGCGGACCGCGCCTCCCTTCTCCCCCCCCCCACCCTCTGTCCTCTTTCCTGCGTGTAGGGGGCGTGTGTGTGTGTGTGTGTGTCTGCTCTCCAAATATACCCTCTCTCTGTATCTCCATTTCTGTGTGTGTGTCTCTGCGTCATTCTCTCGGACACACGCATGTGCGTGCGCCATTCGCACGTCCCCCCCACCGGTCCCTGCTTTAGTTGGCATCGCCATCTCCGGGTGTCTCCCGCCCCCACAGGAGCGGGGGGCGCCCGCCCCGCGCGCCGTGCTGGCACATCGGCAAGAGCACGGCTGGCGCGCGTATTCTATATGTGGGTTTTATTTTCTTGATCAGGCGTGCAAGCTCGCGCAGATGGATGTCGGGATGGCGCAGACAGGCCGCTTGCCCTCCGCTCCCGCCGGACACAGGGAGCCCCGGAAAACAGCCGGAGCAACAAGATGAGCGCAGAGGAGAGAGGGGGGGGGGGAGA